AGCTTGTAACACTCCAAAGAGAAAGGAAAACTTGAAATCGCATCATATGACCCCTTTAAATAAATGCAGCCTTAGTGGGCATAAGAAACATTTAAAAATCTTACAAACCTCAAACATCTGAACAGTAGTGTACTTATTATTTGTATTTATTCATTTAGCAAATGTCATCCAAATCGACTTACAAAAGAGGAACATCACAAGCAATTAAGTCTGTGTGGTTGGAATCAGAGATACCTAGTAGGAATATCCCACATCCGACTTCTCTGGCTAGGATTTAGGGTTAGGCCTGATTTTTTTATAGGAATGTTGTTCCAGGACCAACAAAGGATGTCGGTCCAGGAATATGTCCTACTTGGCTTCATCACATGGTGCGTGGGGTCTCTAGTGGTGTCAATGTGATACTCGCATTGTCTCTCTGTCCTTCTCCTCAGGTCAGGATGTGGACAGCTCATTAGAGGAGCAAAGCTCTCACTCTGCAGCAGGACGCAGAGAAAATGCCAGCTACGCGTATCATCCTCTGTCCTTACTTTACCTCCATCATTATTAAACCATCCCTGTCCACGCTGTCAGCTCTTTCACTCAGTTCATCGGCATCGGCGTAAGTGTGTGTACGGATGTGAGTGCGTGTCTCTGTGACTGTGGATCTGCAGTTTCAGCACACACACATTTGCAAAATTACACAAGGGGCCAGTGAACAGGCAATCCTGTTAGAGCGATCTGCTTTCTGTGCACCTCAGCACTTTTTCTCGGAGAACAGTAGAGGACCGACGAGTTACGGAATGCCCTGAATTCTTCCCGGCATACTGAACAGCTACATATGGACTGACGGTGACATACGGACGGAATATACAGCTACTTGTGCACTATTGATTTGTGTTAGGAACAGCTAAATGACATTGATGCAATGTTGCTACAACATGCAGAGCTCAGCAACTTTTTATTCGATCCTTTATCTCATTTTATGAAATGCAGCTTTCCCGTATCTTAAGACATTTGCATGATTATGCAATTCTCACTGAAGACTAGTTTATCTAGACCCCAAGCATATATAAACTTAGTCATATGTTTTTTGTTTTGTTTTTTTATTCCATTCTCCACCTACAGACGCCACTGAGGGAGAAAGTATTGCGTGTTCGGGCCCACACACTCTCCCCTTAGATACGCCGGCAACCCACGGTCCCATTGCCAGAGAAAAGCAATGAAGGGGAAGTTACCCAAAACTCACTGATGGAGCTTCCTTGAGATGGAAAGGAAAAGTTCAGCCAAAAATTTTAATTCTAACATTATTTACTCAATAACATGTCATTTGAAACCTGACTTTCTTTTTTCAACATAAATGTAATATTACAGCCTACACCTGCACAAAATGACACAAATGTAAAGTAAACTTGAATGTAAGTTACACTATATCTTTCAAAAGTTTGGGCTCTGAATTAATACTTCTTTTCAGCAAGAACGTGTTACGTTGATCAAAAGTGACAGTAAAGGCATTATGTTACTCAAGATTGCTATTCCAAATAAAAGCTGTTCTTTTGAACTATGTATTCATCAAAGAATCCTGGAAAAAATGGGTTTCACAAAAATATTGAGCAGCACAACTGTTTTCAACATTAATAACAATAAGAAATATTTCTTAAACACCTAATCAGCATATTAGAATGATTTCTGAAGGATCATGTGACACGAGTGCTTGCGGTGTTCGGCCAATCACAATGCACTGGGTCAGCTGGCCAATCAGAGCAGACTGCGCTTGTCGGAAGGAGGGACTTTGTAGAAAACGGAGCGTTTGAGAGAGGCGGGGCATAGAGGACCTACAATAATGTACAGTATTTGAAAAATAATGTGTTTTTTGAACATTAAAGCATGTCAACATATTCTGTTACACCAAATGCACAAAATAATGATCTTTAAAAAAGCATCATATGACCCTTTTAAAATAGAAAACACTTTTTTATTATAATATTATTTTAGAAAATTACTGTTTTTTTTTAATCAAATAAATATAATCTCCTTGGGGAGATTGCTTTCAAAAACATAAGACATTTTACTGACAAACTTGAAAACGTGAATACTTTTCAAATTTATGTGAATTTATGCATTCACTAATTTTGCACTTTCCCATGAACTAAAATTAGGCATTTTGCCATTTAATGGAATATTAATGAATGTGAGATATTGACTATTAAATTAAAGGATATTTGTATATTACAATATGAGAAAGTGCAAATGAGATTTGAGCACTACAACAGAAGGTTAAATTTCAGCTTACTTTTCTTTCTGTTTCTCACACAAATCTATCATACGTCTTCCGAAGATTTAGAATTTAGTGCACAAGACATCTGGACCAGCGTGAACTTTCTTCATAATTTCATAAAGAAAACAATCATATGAGTTTGGAACAACATGAGAGCAAGTAAATGATGAAAGAGTTTTCATTTTGTGTGAACTACTCCTTTAACAAGACGTCGGCATCTCTCTCCCCTCTGAAAGTCTCTGAGTCTATTTACAAACTGGGACAATCTTCTGCTCGAGTTGATGGGAGATGTATTTTTAATACCTCTGATGCCAAGAATAATTCTGCCAGGGTATGAGTAGTGTGTTTGCTTGTGCATCCGTGTGTGTGTGTGTGTCTTACTTGTTGGATTTGATTTTGATGTCTTTCCTCTTGCGGAGCTGGCTGCCATCTTTGTACCAGTTGAAGGAGGGGCTCGGGTTGCCCACAGCTTCACACTTGAGTGTCAACTTTTTACCTTCCAGGAGCCACTGAGAATCCATGGGCTTCACCTTCGGAGCTGATGCTACAGATGGAGAAACCAGACAAAGAGTTAGCAGAAAAGAAAAGATTTTTCAGATTTTTCTCTCTTTAATACCTCAGTTGTTTCTCATAGACAGCAATGAGCAATGCTTTCACTTTGATTTGCACTGATTTAAATAAAAACAACAGAATATATAACACATAAAACATATTTGCTTGTTATTTTGGGGTGTTTGTTATATCCCCATTCATTTTACATTTTGTACACTCTGCATGTCAACAATCGCCCTATTTGTTTTTCTTTTTATTTATCCTAAGGAATTTATCTGAGACAAAAAAATGAAACATAACTGGAGCAAATTATGAGCAATACAGATTCCTTGGGGTGGAGGTGAGATTGACTGAGATATAAAGAGAGATTATTGGAAAAAGAAAAGAAGAGGGACATATGGAGGGAGGGATGGATTTTGTCAGAAAAGGGGAGACAGAAGAAGGCATGACGGCTGAAAATGCAAGGAAACAGGTTGAGAGACAGACGCAGACGGGAGGATGAAAAGAAGCAAATAGTAGAGTGGGAAAGAGGAAAGCAGTGAGAAAGGAAAGAGCATGTGAGAGATTAATGGGGATCATCTTCCTGAAGTTTACCTCAGTAAAGTAATCCATCTAGCAATGAGAAACAAGCCCAATATTGTGAACTATGAGCAGTAATAAAAATACAGCACATTTAGTGCAGTTCACACACACACACACACACACACACACACACAATAATAATGCTGCTACAGAGAGGGTGTGTTATTTTACACCTCAAGCTTCATGTGCAGACCCTGAGAAACAAAAAGGACACCAAAATGCAAAGAAAAAATATGAAAAATATATTAGAAATAGCAAACATAAAGCCTATTTTTTAACCTTTTACATTTTTCTCTCAAATTTCCATTACTGTAATGCACTTGAATGTTTTACTTTTTTGAAATTCTTATTGTTCTCAAAAGTGATTCTCAACACTCTCACTACTAAATACACACACACACACACACACACACACACACACACACACACCTATACTTGGATGCATAAAATGAAAAAAAAATTTTTTTTGAATTGTCCTAAAATTAGTTTTTGTTGAAAACTGTCTTTATTTCTTTATGCAAAATATGTTTTAATATTTCCTTCCTCTGATTTTGAGGTGAAATTCCAAAAATCAAATAATACAATTTCTGTAAGCGGAGTCCTCATGAAACAAAGAACTTCAGGTACAGATTTGGACTGAACACAACATGTTATTGCCGTTTACTGTTTAACTGAGTGTGGCTCCATCTGTGGTTTTCTCCTTCTTCTCTCTCTTCAGAGCAATACTTCATTCTGTCACATCCAGTGAAATCACACCTTCTCGTCTCCAGATGCTCTCTCTCACACACACACACACACACACACACACACACACACACACACACACTCTGTATATATATCTCTATATTTTATACACTATTTACACCGCTTGACTAAAACAACATACAGTCCTCATACAATTAATGCACATGTACAGAAGCGCACGCACACACACACACAAACACACACACACACACACACGCTTTCACTTCTTATCACATGCTTGCACGTTGTAATTCTGCTCACATGGACTCAGGAACACAAAAGGAAACCTTTACATGTCCAAGAGAGACTCGCAGCTGAATGCTCAGTTAACAGAAACCCCAGAACTGCCACTCACAAACAGCTCAGTGAAAACCCTCATTCTGAGCCCATCCAATTAGCTTCACTCATCAATACCAGCCAATGTGCTGCCTCGGCAACTCAGGCGACACTTTACTTTGAATCTACCACCACTTCAGATCACTTCATTTGACCAGAGAGTGAAACTACTGTTGGGAATATGATAATACAGAAAGACATATACATTCTAGGGATGTGGGTCATTTTTTCAATATTACTGTAAAACATCTTAACATGGAGAGACAACTTTAATAGATTGATTTTCCAGAAAAAACGTAAACACTGGGACTCTGTTGCAGTGTTGTTATTGTTAAAGAAAACTATTAAAAAACATATTCTGCAATTGAAGTAAAGTTTAAATATATATTAGATGAAAAACTTTGCTAAATTATCTTAGAAAACTAAAATTAGAAATGGTGCCTTGTCAACTAACTGAAATACAGTTTTTTCACAAAAAAAGTACTAAAATTACTAAAAATAAAATAAATAATACAAAATAATAAATAATACTAAAATAACACTGCTCTGTGATACCAAAACATTTTGTTCGAGTATCCAAATATGCCACAATAAGTACTTTACATTGCATGAAATGCTTTAAATTTAAACAATATATAATACATGCTGCTTTTAATCGATGCACATTATTTCAAATAAAAGGTGTCCTTGAAATCTTTCATCAAAATTAAAACTTGCTCTGCCTCTGAAACTATGTTTGTTTTTGGATGACATCATCAAGTCCACTTATTTTTCAACCTCCTGCCATACAAAGACATTTTTCACAGTTGATTCCATATGGATAAAATCAAGTCCCTACTTTTTTTTTCTTCTCCCTGAATACCCTGTTTTCATCACATTACATAGAAAAAATCCTTGATTTTATGTTAACTTTGAAGAAAATCTGCAGAAAGGGTCTGGTTATTCTCTCTTTTTTTTATTTGGGCTTTTGCCACTTTTTATTGAAAGGACAGAAAAAATAAACCCCAGCCAGACTCAAACTTGTCAGAGCATGTGCACTATCCATTAAACCCCATCTACTACAGTTACATTGAGTTTATTTTGTATAAATCACTAAACTATCAGCGACACAAAGTGGAAGTATTGGGGACAGATGTCCAAAGGATAAAAGAATAAGAGGCGTTTCATGTTCACCATCGAGTTGATTTCTGCTTGATCAGTAAATCCAAGTATAAACACACAGGCACAAATGCACACACTGATAATAGTGACAGCTCACTTGAAGGATGTCTTTTCTTCTCTCTGCCCAACGCTCCTTCCACTTGCTTTGATAGTCCTGGAAGTCTTTTATTAGAAATAGTATTTCCGTCCCTGTTTCCTCTCTCTCTTCCTTCTTCCACAGAAACAAGGCCTATGAGATGAAACTGACTGTCGGTCTATAATACAAGATCAGACCGGTTTCTACAAATAGTAAGGGAAAAGAGCTGTCTCTCCCTTTCAAAACTAGTTTAACTTATTAAGCATGTGAACAAATAATCAAGATTGGGGGATCCAGACGTTAATCTGAAAACATCACGCACAGTTAACATTTATAAAACTGCAACATGTACATTACTGTTTTAAAAATGATAGGGTTGGTAAGTTTTTCTAATTAAAAAAATAAGTCTCTTATGCCCACCAAGGCTGCATTTATTTGATCAAAAATACAGTAAAAACAGTAATATTCTGAAATAATATTATTATTTAAAAGAACAGTTTTCTGTTAATATATTTTAAAATGTACTTTATTTCTGTGATGCAATGCTGAATTTTCCAGTCTTCAGTATCACACGACCCTTCAGAAATCATTCTATGATGATTTGCTTTCAAGAAACATTTCTATTATCGTCAATGTTGAACGTTTTTTCAGGATTGTTTGATTAACAGAGTTAAAAAGAAAAACATTTATTTCAAATAGAATCGTTATCGTTTATAACAATGTAAAATACTTTACTGTCACTTTTAATCAATTTAACGAATCCTTAAAAAGTATTAATGTCTTTAAAAATATATATTGACCTAAAACTTTTGAACAGTTATATATTTAAATGGCAATGCATTTTTTAATTTGATACCTATCAAGATTAAATGAATCAGAGAGATTCCAACACCCTACTAACCCTAATCAATCAATACTGTATATCAATATTTTCAACGACCAGTCTGGAATATTTGATAACATACTTGTTGTCATGCATCTCAACTTTTCCTTTAGTTGAAAATCAAACATTGGTAATAGTGGAAGAAAACGGCTGGCACAAGGTTAATGTAAGCGTCTCTGACATCACCCAAGACAGAAGTGTGTGTGTGTGTGTGTGTGTGTGTGTAAAGCTGCACAAGGTTGCAGTTGTGCATGAATGCTTTTGCTCAAATCAGCATTTTCTGATTGAGTTTTATCACCAACCACCCCTCTCTTTCTCCTTCAAGGTTCAAATGTACAGCTGTCCAGCAGAGCACACACACACATTATAAAGCAGAAAACTGTGAAAATAAGCTGAATGAAGCCGGACGCTCATACGACACGGCACAGAGAAACATTAACTCTCATTAACACCTGCATGCAAGAGCATTTGTCATGAGCTTCACACACACAAGAACGGACAACTAACCGACTCATTCTAAGCTATTGCTGGTAACCGTCACGTAAACGCATCTCTCTTCCAGACGGCCCTCAGCTGGAATGAAACCAGAAAAGACATTTCAGATTTTTATTAAAAACAAACCCATGGAGGCGAAGCAGTGACTGTTAAACTTGTCCAGCGGTGGAGAGGAAATCTGAATCTGAAAACAAATCTGATGTTGCCGTATGAAACAAAATGTGATATAAAACACAGCACTATCCGCTGGGATGCTCGATAGAAAGCCAACAGTTACAGATAAATAAATCCTTTGTCATAGGGACAAAAATAAATCAACTTTTAAAGAAATAAAGCAAAATACAGTTTCTGGTTGGAGAAATATTTATGGATGAAATTTCCTACAATTGCCAGATGTGGCAACAAAAAAAAGAAGAGAAGTATAAAACACTGAAATTTGATTAGATGAACCAAATCTGATGTTGCAATATGAAATGCAATGCGATAAGACAAACTGCTCTGTACATGATCTGGAGAAAGAAGCATTTTGATGTCTACATCAACATTTGACCTGTCCATATGAGAAGAAAACAACATGCATCCATGAAAAAGAATAAAGTTCTATCTATTGTTTCTCCAAGATGACAATGAGACTCTTGCTTCTTAGGTTTTTCTCCAGAAAACAGATGCTAGTTATGGAACAAATCTCAACAATGTCTCATATTTAGCTCAAATT